TTTGACTTTTTAAGTCCTTCCAGGCATTTGTTGGCTTGCTAATTACCTTCTAATGACTACTCACATATTGAATCTCATTTCCATTCAGTTTATGATACTTAGCTCAGTATTTCATTTTCCAGCAGCCCTTGCATAGTGCCTTCACATTCAAAGGCTGTCTGTGAAACTTTGTTATTTTCTTTTCAAGAGGCTTCTTAAAACGCATCCCATTAGAGATGCCAGAAACTCAGTTAGAGGTAGAAATGGCTAGTGTACCAGGGGGCTCGGTACCAGGGCTAGTGTACCATAGAATTGTCCCTTATCTCTTGTTCAAACTTATTTGGAAATTGTTCAATATTGGAACAATCCTTTTTGTTCTTTTTTGTCCACTAACATATGGAATAACACAATGTATCCTTCTGGATCTTCAGCATAGAGTGAGACATTAATAGATTGTTCTTAGTACATTGTGCAGTTTAGAATGTATAATTGGAGATTTCAGCCTTTCCCCTTTCCCCTTCTTAGTTATGCCTAGAAGAACTTAATACTGTCATCCAGCTGAGCATAGTCAGCAAAAAACTTTTACTAAAAATTTACTACACATTTTTTTCTGGACACTGGCCTCCATACTGAAGTATCTGAAGAACTTGACTTTCACATGTTTTTAATCTAATATGCATTCACATACCTGCAGTCTGCTACACAGTTTTGCTCATGCGTATCTAGTTGATGCCAGTGAGCTTCCTTAAATGAGTAAAGATTATGCACATTAACAAAATTTGGAATAATGAAACCTTACCTTTCGAAAAGTACCACCTTAATTTTTTTCTATTTTAAGAAATCAGGCCTAACAAGTAAGTATTTACTTTTTAAAAGAAGTTCTGTGATTTTTCCAATTTTTCAGAAAAGGTGCTGAATTTTCACAGAATTAGGTTTTAAGTTAGCACCTCCATCTACTGTATCACTTTTGGAATAGGTCCATTTCACTGAAGTACCAGAATTTAATGTTTTAATGAACAGGATTTATTAAACATCTAACGTAACACTACTTTATAACAGACTACTCTAACAGTCTATAGAAGGCTACTCTCTAAATATCTTTACTGCTCACTTATAGAAGTGACAGTTTTTAGCACCAAAGTATATATTCTCAAACTTTACCTGATTTTATTCCATTTTTAAACACTATTTCTGAAACTTACAAGAGCACTGACATTCTTCAATATACATTCATACCTAAGTGCAAGTGAACTAATCTCCTAACAGCGTAAAAATTAGCACCAATAAAAACAAAACACTGCGTTTATATTTCTTTTAGGAATATATTTCCTTTAGGAAGGAAACCTATACAAATCATAACCTTAACAACTAATAAAAATATTCCTTTTAGCACTTTTTTCTTTTTTTTACTCTCAAATATAATTCTAAATGGGTTTAATTTCTCCAAGTCATACATTTGAAGATTCTCTCTGCTTTTTAAGTCTTTTAAAAAAAAAATTCTAAAACTCCCTGCCCAAAACAGTGTTTGTTCCAGCTCCCCTCATTATACTATGAGGGGGAGGAAGGGAATTTTCTAGTTATTAACATAGCCCTGCTTATTACTGGATCAAATTCCACCCTGCCAATGCAGCAAGTCCAGCAACATGAACATGTGCTTTCATTAATGGACAAGTGCAAGGTTGAATGCATCTTTCTGATGTGATCCTAAGATAGATACTGAAAAATTCCAAATCTGTGTTATATATATTAAATGTCACCAACTAGTTTGTGCACTCATCTTCCACTGTTAGCCCATGGGTTAATTTGGTGGGGGGGTTTATGTTTTAAGGTTTATTCCTATAATCAAATCTATGTGTTTCCAGAATTAGATTCTTAAAAGTGAATTATGTAGTAGCTGCTGAAACTAGAACTGGAACAGGCACACTGGTAGAATTTCTATCAGAATAGAAATATTCTGTTTCTTGAATGTAGTGTCCCAAAAGAGGTACCCCCTTGGATTTACTTTGCCTTCCAGGAAGCAACAGAAACCACAGAACATGTTAGATATTAACTGGAATATTCATATCTATTCCAATGTTCTGAATGAAAATATAGAAAAATCTCTTCCTTTTAAAGTTCCTACACATTGTTACATTCCTTAAATACATGAGGTGAAAGCACACCTGAAGAGCTGGTGTAAATCTTCATAAACCTGAGTGTAAATAGAGCAGGTTTGCACAGACCTGATGGTCTGCATTAACTTGAGAAAAAGTAAACTGGTGCTATTTTTCTTAATAGCACCAGTTTTCTCTCCTCTGACACTGCCTACAAAGTTCTAATAAGTAAAGGACTGGTAGAGACAATTCTGGGAAGATGGACTGAGGCAGACTACTGGTTGTTCAGAGAGTAAACTACTCTTGTCCAAATAGTGTATCTAATGTAATGCAAGAAGTTCTGCTTTTTTGGGATACTTTTTAAAGTACTTTCACTGCTTCAGCTGAAGTTGTTTTAAATTCCTTGTCTATTGAAATGGTCTCATGCTTAGCTTTTTGCCAAAACTAACCAAAAAAGTTACCTTAAAACAAGCTTTTGTGTAGTGTAAAAAATTACTCAGAACCTGTCCAAAAGTTTAAGCCAAGACAGTTGTTAAAAACAGCCAATACTATTACAATCAAGAATATGGGGGCGTGTGGCTAAAGGACACAAAATGATTCACACGAACACTCGCAGTGTCAGAACAAAAAACCCGTGACTTTATTCTCTGACTCCAGTATTTATAGATTCTCCACAATGATCAGGGATTAGATAATTAAGTTACCACCTTCCCAAGCACACTGGTCATGAGAAACATCCATCAAAAGACGTTTCTTAGAAGGAATGTGATAAACAACTTATGCTTATAGTTACTTTCCTGGGAAAGTAACTAAAACTATGAAAACATTATCAGAAGGCTTAATTTTCAGGGCAACAGGGGAGTGAGTGAGCACATTTTAAGACTGATTCCCCTTATAAAATTACACAGATGACTGAAGTTTGAGACTTCCTTTTAGATTCTGTTACTTTAAGAGGAATATTCTGTGTAGGAGACTGAGAAAGGTACTACTGTGTTCCCTCAAAGAGATGTGTGGTCTTTTTTCTGTCAGGAATTTGACCTCAGGATTGTATGTCTAACTTATTACTTGAGTTGCAACTCCATGAAATTTTTTGTATGCTGTTTTGTCAAGAAAGAAAGGACAGACTTAAATGACTTACCTAAAAAAATGAAAGACGGGGTTAAGAATAAATCAAGTATTAAGCTATTGAGTGAGAAACATCAATCTGGTTTCTTTCCTTCCTCCCTCCCCCCAAAAAAGAAAAAAAAAGGAAAAAGAAGAAAAAAAATAAATGAAAGAAAAAAAAGAAAGGTTAAAACTCATGCACTGAATGACATTTAACTTTTGTCTCTTCAGTTTCTGTTTACTTCGCTTGTGAGCTTGGCCAAACTTTGTTGCCTACTGTGTCATCCACTGACTCCTCTTTGCTTCTCTTTTCCACAGAAACTGAAAACAGTCTTGTTCTTCAAGACTGGGCTTGATTCTGCTGTCCACAGATAGGTATCTAATGACATTTCAGATGTCCTTTAATATCCATGTGGCCTCCATCTGCAGTTCCAGAGTCCCTCATAAGTTCTGTCGTATCTGCTATTCTGTGTACATATTTTGGCTACCTTGGAACATCTCAAACAGTACTCGATGACTCTTTGCAGGCAACTGTGTCATGTCTTTGCAGTCTTAACAACGATTTTCAGATACTATAATTTCAATCTTTGCTAGGAAAAGGATGAGATTGCTGTGTATATGCAAGAAATAAACATTTTAAAAGGTTAAAAAGAGCCAAAAGGATCAAACTCCGTGACAAACCATGACTGTGTAGAAACAAAATATATCACCTTCATTTTCTGGAGTGTTTTACAAATCCTTTACTTTTTTACATTATAAAGATCCTATCCAGAAAGTTTACCAGAAACTTTCCTTTGAGGATTTATAAAGGAAAAAAACCTGAAGTCCACTGGCTCTGAATGTACTTGCCCCTAATCTGAACAGCTGTAAGCAAATACTCCAGATATTCTGTATCCAAGGCATGCTTATCACGTTCACACAACTGCCATTACCATCGAACCATGTCTTTTCTATAAGAATCCAATCAAACACAGGCACAGAAAAATGACCCAAGTGCTCTGGCCTTTGAGAGCTCCATCATCTCTGAGCTCTTAGGATCAAAACGAAAAAAAGACACAATTATCTTACTAAATGTGTTCCTCAGATGTTATAAAATACAATTTCCAAGATGGAATTTAAAGCCTCTAAAGAATTCTGATATGCAAAGTGGTATCAAGCTTCCCTAAGAGATCTGCTGGAGCTTTGAGTTTCTCCTCCCACCTCCTCCTGAACATGCTACTACTACAATGCTCTAACTTCCAGCTCATGTTTTGATGCTGCTGAAACAGAGCTGTGGAATATATAACTGTACATTTCAGCTACTGAAACAGCTAGTAGTGGACAGAAGAGTGTTCTACTACTCTGAAATCTGCCAAGACTGAAAAGTCACCTCCTTTTACATTTTTACAGTAGATGAATACATAGACAACAGAAGCCTTCACCTCTCCCCTCTGGACCCTAAACTTGAAGAAAGAACAAAATCAACCTTTGAGTAAGTCTTTAACAAACAATAAAGATGTGTTTAAAGTTTAGAAAGTGAATCTGGGAGACCCAAGTTTTCTGTCGCATCTCAGCATGACTTAACTACTTACAGAATTTACCAACCTCTAAAGAACATTTCTACAGTAAGCCAAAAACTAGAAGAACATAACAGAACCAAATAGCTACGCATTTTAGTATGTAACTGGTGTTAAAAACTAGCTTCAAGTGGGTGCAAGTGCTAGCTGGTGAGGCATATAGGATCTTCCGCTGTGTTTTCCAGAAACCTTGGAAGTAAAAGTAAGAATCATTTTGTTTGAAAAAAATGACTGAAAATACATACTTTTTAAAAAAATAACAAATTACCTGACAAGGCTTTTTCATTTTAATGGCTATAACATGGTATCTGTAACAGCAGAGTTCACAGGTCCATGACCCTCTTTCACTTATCCACTTTAAAAGGCAAAGCTGATGCGTGTATCGTACTGAGCCATCGCAGCGGCAAGGGTTTAACAATTCACCCTGGAAAGGCAATACAGAAACATCAACTTTAAAGGAATCTTTCACTTACATGTACACTCAATACCAAAATATTTAGGGGTCTGTAACAATGATCTGGTCTCAATTTCACTATATGGAAAAGCATGTATTTTTGGCCATGAAATACTCAAAAATGTAACTGTCTTAAAAATACCTAGCTGCTTCTACTGAGAAACGCCAGAAAGCTGTCTACACATGTTCATGTACTTATGTGAAACAATTGAAATATTACTATGTGTTAAACCACAGTACCATCAGCCCTTTCAAATACCTCAAAATGTACGAGAAGTGGTCAGATACATTTCTTCAACAGCTATTTGCAGTATCACTCAGAAAGAAATGTGTGACGTCACGATTCCAAGGGAACCTTGCTCTTGGAGCACTGCTCTGTGCTGTCCAGCTAGCCAGCTGTCAGGCAGGACCTTAAATAATGTAACTAAGCACTTCCCCCTGTAGTTTCTGTGTTATATAAATCAGCTACTCTCTTCTTTCCAACTCCAAGACAAGCTATAAAATGTTAGTTACATATCCGTCGCTGATGCTATGCCCGGTAATGTCATGACAGTGATGATACTTGGAGGTCTTCTCAGCATTACCTGTAAGCTAACACTCTCATTTTAAAGTCTAACAGAAACCTGAGAAATTCGTAGTGTGTAGAGTCCCTCAGAGGTGAACCCGGGAGCGCGAGCGCCAGAGGACACCCAGCGTGCAAGCCAGACACGACAAAATCCCTGAATTCTCACAAAGCTCTGCGCCGGCTCGGGTTCGCCCCAGGCGTTTGCCACAACCAGCTCGCACAGCGGCAGCCGGGGCTCGCACAGCCGCCGACGCCGGGGAGGGCGATTCTTGCCGGGGAGCGACGCCGAGATCAGCACCAGGGACAGGGCTCGGTCCCGGAGCGCAGGGGTGCGAAGGTGTGCGAGGTGCCTGCCGCCCGCCCCCGGCGCCTCTCCTCACCTGCTCGGGGCCCTGGAAGCAGATCTTGCAGATGGGG